CTTCTCTATGTGTTGCGCACTGGGCAGCTGTCCACTTTGTTTATCCCTAGCCTCAGTTCTGTCTTCCTTTCAGACAATAGAGAAATTGGAAAAATGCTTAAACCTTGAGAAACTTCCACAAAGAGAAAAAATAATCCAAGCCATTTAAATGGTAAGGTCAAATGAAAATCACTGTCCTATTCAGCTTCCAGCATTAAAAAGCCAGGTCATCACAGGCTGTTCAGACATTCCCCAATCTCACTCATTCTATTTATAATGTACTTCAGGTGGCTATACTATATACATGCATATAAGTGTGTGTGTGTATTTAGATAAACAGACATAGATTAGATAGACAGATAGATAGATAGATAGATAGAAAAGTATTGAAACAATCTACTAGATCATCATAGTTCTCTAAAGAAAGGGTAAGCAATTGATGATATGCACTGGGAAAAGCAAAGTCTAGTTTGCTTTGGGAACTCTACAACCTCAAAAGCCAAAAGACTAATTCACAATTACACCACCACCACCAAGTGCCTTTGGATCTCTCCTTGCATTACTAACTCAAGTACACCCATAAGGCTTATCTAAAGCCAGATAAATTCACACCCAAAAGAACTATATCAAACCTGACCCCATACCGGAAACGGCCTATGCTGATCCCCTTACTCTATTCCAGGGGTTCTCAATTGGGGCCCTTGAATAGATTTAAGAGAATCCCTTGAATCTAGAAGAGAAACAAATTACTCTTTTTTTCCAATATGATTGGTTTCCCTTGTAATTCTATGTATTTAATGTTACAAATTTAAAAACAATGCTTGGCACAATCCCTAGCACATAATAGGTGGTTAATGAATTCTTGTTGACTGCCTGACATTATTCTAAGAAAGAGGCTATGAACTTCACCAGACTGTCAAATGGATCCACAACACAAAAAAGGTTAAGACCCCTACTATATTCTCTTTCTTCAGCAATTCAGCAGAAATAGGGAAATTCAGGGGGTAGTTTAAGGTTGGGCTAAACTATAAATACTTAGCAGCATCTAAGTTATATGGGTCATTAGTGAAATAGTCTTGGAAATCTACAAAGCTGACAGACTGTTAACAGATCTCCCCAAAGCTCTACCTTCCTGTTCCCTGATAGACAGCTGGGAGATATTAGATCCTTATATTACTATCAAGGCACCACTAGCTTATAGAAAGAAGGCTTAGATTCTGACTGATGCATAAGAACACAGGATTTAGAGTTGTAAAGAGACTTTGGGTAGGTCATTTAGCCCAGCCCTCTTGTCTTACAAATGAAAAAACTAAGGCTCACAAAGGTCAAGTGTGTCACCTGAAGGGTTCTTCTCAAGACATCTGTTAGGAAGGTTCTACTTAAGTCTTCCAAGAGCACAGGGCAAGCTTCCTATTCACAGAAGATGCCACCTGAAATTCTTGTGAAACCTGCTCTGAAGCATTCCTGTTCTTTTAAAGCGGTAAGATTCTTTTGCCCAGACACTGAAGATTCCAGAGTCTAGAAGCGGGGGAGAGGTTTTATAGAGCAAAGCATGGTGAAGAGACTTTGCTAGAGAGGCCTAGAAGGCCAAGGCCAGCATGAGACCAAGCATTTCACTATTTGGAGGGAAAAAAGAGATTTCCATTTCCTGTTGGGGAACTAATGCAATGTGAGAGAAGCAACATAGTGTAAGCTAGCATAAAATAGACTGTTGTAATCAGGATGGCTACACACCAAATGAAAGAATTATTTGACCAACTTCCTAAGTCATTTGCTCCTATCACAGTGAATTCTTATACCAACCTAGGAGGGAGAAGGCGATGGTCCCAGTACTCAATTCAATGTGGTTAACATTTATCAAAGAACTACAAAATTCAAAGCACTATGATAGCAACAGGAGATAAGAAAAGAAAGACCTCTGCCCTCAAAGAGTTTATGTTCTACTATGGAGAGGATACAGTACATACAAAGTTATATAATGCAATTTCAAGTTGGATAACAGTTAGAGATATCAGGAAAATTACCTAAACTGAGTTTTGGAGAAGTCCAGGGATTCTAAACAATGAAGATATGGAAGAAGTTCACTCCATACTTGGAGGGGGGGAGGGGGGAGGAAAGACCAGTAGGCCAGTCTGCATGGAATTGAGAGTACAATTGGTTAAAAGGAGTAATGTAAAGACTGGAAAAGTAAATGGGAGCTAGGTTGTTGAGGTCTTTAAATTCTAGGCTGAGGATTGTGTATTCTATCCTGGAAACAACAGGGAGCCACTGAGAATTTTTGTTTAAAGGTGTAGCATGGTCAAACCTGTATTTTAGGAATATCAGTTTGGCAGCTGTTGTAGGATGTATTGGAAAAGAGATGGAATGGAAGCAGGGAGGCCAACTTACTAGTTGGCTTTGAGGTAAGCAGAAATTCATATTTAGGATCATAGAATCAGTTTTAGGGCAAGAATCATGTTGCTGGCACCCTACCTCCTCCTTGGTTTACAGATGAGGAAACTAACCCATAGATGTTAAATGACTTGCCCAAGGTCACCCAGGCAGCAAGTGGAAGTCCTAACTTAATTGAGGTTTTCTATCTATGATACATAATCTTTCTGAGATCTGGGGGAAAATCCATTCCTCCTATCTCTGTCTCCCCAAACAATGCACTGCTTTGTATTACCACACTTGTCAATTAATTCAACAAGCATTTACTAAGTGCCTATTACTTGAAAGTCACCTTGCTAGAAACTGGACATACAACCACCAAAAAATGTCATTCTTGCCCTCCTGGATGTTACATTCTATTATCACAGTTTCTTGCTAATAGCCGGCATTCATTAATAATCTTTAAAGATGAAAGAGTTATCAGTAGTTTCACTTAGAAATCAGGCCCCAAATACAAATTCAACCTCCCTTTTAATCAGCAAAAAGCAAAATTTGTTCCTGGTCACAGAGACTGAACAGAAAGGGACATCAATTATCACCTGCCCCAAAGTCATACTCTTCCTTTCTTCCCAGGGCCCCAGTTCAGGCCTGGGGGTGGTTCCTCAAATGGTACAGTTAACTTCACTGATGCCCTGCCTAACTGATTTCTCCTTTGTGACTGCCTCAGCTCTATCCTCCTCCTAAGATAATGATGAAGATGCCAGCATCAAACTTGGACTGTCTTCTAACCAGAAGAAGGAAAAAAATAACACTGGTTTATCTTATGATGGAGGTACATCGAAGGAAGAGAACATAAAGGATGAGAAGCTACATTTTTTTTAAAGGAGGAAAAAGGCCAGAGAAAATGAACCTCTTAGGGATAAAGTAGATGCTCCAGTTACCAATTCTTTACCAAATAGTCATCGCTTAAACATTATTTGAAAAATAGCCCATGAAACTAAAAGAAACGCTGGGGAAATTCAAAAGCTCGGAGTTACCCATTAACAAATAATATTTATAGCTTGAGGTTAATCTGCTTTCAGGGAAAGCCAGAGTTTCTGAACTTAAGCAAAAAGTACAAATTAACACTGCAGAGTTTTGAAAGGGCCCGGTGGTGTAGCCTGGAAACCTGCCTGGCCACTCCAGTTTCACTCCATGCCCCCCAAAATCCAAAGCAAGAAACCAGCGGCAGTTGTGATGATAAGCCCTTTAAAAGGTGGCATTTTAGAGTCATGTGTGTCCCTTTAAGAACTTCGCACACAAACCTCAACAAGCCAAGGTGTTCAGCCAAAAAGAAGGCATATTTCTAGCCTGCATAATAATTTCTGGAATGATTCCCATCAGCAGCCTCTAAGGCGAATAACAGCTCGCTGCTCCCAACCCAAGCTTTTCCAGCTCCTGGATTATGACAGTTATTCTTGGGCACGAAAACCCCCCGAACTCAAAAGAAGAGGTGGAAATACTCCAACCAAGAAACCCTAAGCATCCTCTACACACCTGCATTTCACAAACATGCCATTTCCAGTGTCCCGGGACAGTCAGGACTCAAATTTGGGGAGCCTTCTGCTTTGAGTGATCCCACTTATTCCTAATCAATCCCACCTAGCCCCTGGGGATGAAAAAAATAGGAAGGGGAGTGTCAGTTAGCTATGGAACCACTCCACCCCCATGACCTAGAGCTGAAGCCAAGAACAGATACACATTTGTTTCAACTATTGGAGCAACTGTATGTCATCTCTAACCCTCAACGCGGCCCTTCCCTCCAACCCTCCTCTAGCCCTTTCTTCTCTGGAATGTGCTTCCACAGAGAGGCCATAGGGGAGGGGGGAAAATGCTATAGGCAAGAATGTCAGGGAACACTCATCCACCCCAAACTAACCACGTTTCCCCTTCTTTCAGTCTCACTCATATAGGAGGCTGGTTTCTGGCAGGCGCCCAACCCGGAGTTGGCGCTCACCATAGCAAACTCAAAACGCCAGTAGCCTCCAGCCACAGATCCAAAAGCAAATGCCCCAGGTAGAGGGGAGAAGCATCCGCCTCCAGTTTGGCAGGAGAGATCCTTTAGGAAGATCCCAAGAGTGAAGATCTGGGGTTATTTGCGAATTTAAGTCTCTGGGTAGAAATTAAGAAGCTGTCTGAGCTCCAACGGAGCTTAACCCATTCAGCTCGCCCACTTTTCGTGGCCTCAGAAAGCAACATCCCTCCTCTCTCTGGGAAAAGGGGTATCCTCTCCTCTGATGGAAAAAGGGGGAAGAGGAAGGAATCCATCCTTAACTTTCTTAGGAAAAAAAAAAACCTGCTCTGCTGTCTCCCCAATCCCCCTATGCACATCAGGATTTAATATTGGGGGGAGAAAAGGGAATGGGCAAAGGTACTCTCTTAGTCTGCACTGACCAACTGAGATGTCCTGGATAGAAAGCTCCCTCTAGCACTGCCTGCAAACTTAAGAACATCTTGCTCGTATTCACCACCGCTGCAGCCCCCTCACCAGAGGAGCCGCATCTGAACAGAGCGGGCAGCTCCCCAAAACCTGGCGTTGCAATTGCATCAATCCTTCCCTCCCTTCACCAGTCCCTCTGTTTCTCCTCTCCTTCCCACTCCCGAGCCCCTACCTCGCAACGCGGCTAGTGCTCCCGGAGGTACAAGTGCGCGGCACGCGCCCCGGCTCTAGCCGCCTCTATCTGTGGGGCTTACCCCACGCGGAGTGCTGGGCTCCAGCAAGGAAGGCTCGGTCGGGCCCGGGCTGCCTCCTCCGCTCCGTTTCCTTCTCCCGCGCGCGCAGCTAGGGAGGGGTGAGAGGGAAAACTCCCGGCAACTCCAACTCCAGTCACTGGGGCTCCAGCTGCAGCCTCCCGCCAGCCGCGGAGTGCAAACGCTTGTAATGCAAACCTGCCCCCGCTGGCGGACTCTGAGCATGCCCAGTTTGGCTGCTAACTACAGCCCTTGCCCGGGGCAAAGGGCTGAGGGGAGTCCTCGGCCCTCCAGCCAGCACCTGGGGGAAGGAGGGAGGCGGGAAGGTGGGAGGCATCTGGACTCTGGGCATGGTCGGAGTTAGGACCTGGGTCGGGCTGGTTCAGTTCCTGGTAGACTCCTGGAAAGGGTAAATGGCAAAAATGGGTAAATGTGGGTGGAGCGGAGAATCTTGCAAGTTATACCAGGCGTGGAAGACTAAGGTGTTTTTTTTTTTGTTTGTTTGTTTGTTTGTTTTAGGTGTTTTGTTTTGTTTTTAAACCTACGCCTAAGGTTCTAATGCGGTGGAAAGCTGGGAACATTTCTTTGTAAAGGAGCCCTAGGCAAAGGGAAAGTAAGGCAACTGCGTGGGAAAGACTATTCAGTGGCATTCTCCCTGTTAAAACATCTTAATATAACACTGGTTTAAGAAATTACACAGTGTATCTGAAGAGCAGTTTTCCAGACAACTCGGGATTCGCCCCACCCGTAATATGTGGCATGGGGAAAGTATTGAAGAATCAGAAAACGATGTGACCTTGGTCAAATAACAATCCCCCTGGGCCAGATTTTTCCTCTGTAAAATGCTTGATGACAGGAAATTGTCTTACTTTAAGGATTGTTTGGAGGTTAAAAAAAAAAAAGGTGAAAGGGCCTTGAAAATTCTAAAGAACTCCACAATTTTTTTAATCTGATGCACAAATCTGATATGCAAAGATGAAATTCTAAGAGTAACCAGTAAAGGGGTGACTCTGCTGCCTTTAGAAAGATGTAATCAAGGACATCCTTTAAATAGCAAACTCTTCTGATGCATTTAATAGATGATTTAAAAGGAAGGAAGGAAAGCGGGAAGGAAAGAAAGAAGGAGGGAAGGAAGGAACGAACTCAATTTATAGTCAACTCTGGAGCGCCAACTCCTTCCACTATGTAAGCCGCATTACCCCTACACTGTTTGTTCTCTAGCACTTTTAAACATCTTCTATTAACACCTTATTCTGCTTTTCTTCTTCCTATGTTCAGTTTTTAGCTCAATCTTTACACCTCATTCCAGGTGTTGCCATACCCTCTGCTATCTATCATTGCCTCATTCATTCATCCTCCTGGAATCAATTCAGTTCACTGCAGCTGTTGCTGCCTCAGCATTGTCTCTAGGACCTTTGTAAGGCCATTGAGACAAGTGGTGATAGCTCTTCATTCACTGAAGATGTACCTGTGCCTTACACGAGGAGGCTAGTAACAATAACTCATTTCTATAGCACTTTAATCTTTACAAAACAATTCGTCACAACTCTGTGAGCTAAGTAGTAATAATACAGTGTCCCAAAACTCTTAGTGTGGTTTAGAACTTTAATAGTTTTTGAGACACTGTTTATTATATTTACATGCAAATTTAAAGTTTGTAAAGTATTTTATGTAAATTATCTTGAGCTCCATAACAACCTATTAATGGTGATAGTATGGGTAATATTATCCTCATTTTCCAGATGAGAAAACTGAGACTTGTAAATGTTTAGTGACTTACACAGGGTCACATAGCCAGTAAGTGTCATAGGCAGGATTTGAATGTAGGTATTCCCAATTCCAAGTCCTATATTCTTTCCTATATGTCATATTATAGTAGTATTATTTGAGGCAGCTAGATGGTGCCTGGCATTGAGTCAGGAAAAAGAGTTAAAATTTGACCTCAGACACTAGCTGTATGACCCTGGGCAAGTCACTTGACCCTGTTTGCCTCAGTTTCTCATTTGTAAAATGATTTGGAAAAGGAAATATTAAACCACTCCCGTATCTTTGCTAAGAAAACCCCAAATGGAGTCACAAAAAGTTGGATGTGACTAATTGATAGTAGTATTTATTCCCCACTTTCTAGATGAAAATGTTGAGGCTTAAAATGGTGAAATGACTTGGTTAAGGTCACACAATAAGAAAATATGTAACTTGAACCCATGTCCTCTAACCTCAGGTCCAATGCTCCTTCTATGAATGAAACAATTTTAGAACTCAAAAAAGATTAGAGATCATCTAATCATACCCTGCCCTAACTCACTTTACTTATAAGAAAACTAAGGCCGGAAGAGGTAAGTGATTTGCACAAGGATACATGGCTAGTAAGTGTCACATTCTTGGTGAGCATGCAGAATGCTCATTTAAAGTAGAGTTTAGAGGGTTTTAGACAATTTCTAGAGATCATCAGAAGGCTACCAAGGAAAAAGGGAATTTTCTAAAATAATAACTGACATTTATATAGTACTCTAAACTTTGTAGAGTGCTTTCCATATATTGTCTCCTATGTTAGGTACTGCAAGTGTTTCTATTTCCATTTTACGGATAAAGAAACTGAGTCTCAGACAGCATAAAGGACTAGGCCACAGTAACACCGCTGATGAGTGTCAGAGGCAGGACAATTTTTGTATCTCTACAACCCCTTTATACCAACCCCTTAGAATTGTTAAATAACCCTTGTTCCAGGAACCCAAGCTCTAGGCATACATGAACCAGATTCAACCTTGAAGCCTACCCCCAAATCCCTCTTTTTGGATCATATTGCCCATGACCAGAGGTATGTCTGGGAAATTTTGCAATATAACTCTTAGAATGTTGCTCATGTCTAGTACAGGAAATCAGGTTCCAAGATTCCATATTAGCACTCAAAGTATAGGGTAGAGGATAGCCTTTATTATACCCAACAGAAAATGCAGAAAACTCAGGAAGTACTAAAAAAAAAAATAGCCCACACACAGCCAATACAATTCTCTTTCTCTGTTGAGTTCCAACTTTACCTAGGGTTTTCAGTGCTCTAGACTCTGTGGTTTGAACTCCTCTCAAAAAGGAAAATAATTTGGGATTTCAAGTGAAATTTCCTTACATTTCAGTGAGTCACACTTTTACCTCCAATGACCTCTATAAGTAACTATCATTATGAAACTAAAAAGTGTAACTCTATCTCCCCTGAAAGGGAAGCTTACTTGGAGTTGATAGACAGGCAAACTCCTATCAGACCTACAACTATCTGAATAACCTACAATAATCGTGAAAGATAAAGGCTAAGTCTTTTGTTCCTCCATATTGTAACATAAAGTCCCCTACCTACACTTCAGCTTTGGGGATGTGGAGGGTGGGTACAGGTGGGAACAACATCTGTAAGTTAGGCTAATTCTTCCTCAAAAAGCATTCACACTGTCCTTTAGACTTAACTGGTAAATCTACTAAGGCAAAAGCTGTGGACATAGCTTCCTGGAGGCCTAAGTATAAAAGCCAATCTACAAGGAATGCCTTGGCCACCATGGCCACCACAGAAGCAGGGAAGCTATGCTCAACTGAATATTAATTCTATATTCTTGCTAAGGATTCTTTCCTCCACATCATGGCCAAGTGAGTCTGCTTTTGTTAGCTATTAGATGGTCTACAAGTGTCTGCTTTCATTCCAATCCAGAACCTGAAGCACCAAACCTGCCTGAATCACTCCAGAGACCTACAACAAGGGACCATGTGCAAATTTTTATTTTTCTGTCTCCAGGAGGTTGGTGCTGCCTAGGAAATCCCTTTCTTTCTCTAAAAAGCGTAGTCCCGGAATCCTCAAACTTTGAGTTGCTGATGAGCATGCCCCAAATACCCATGAAGCTCTCCTTTTTCCTCCAGAAAATTTGATTCCAGAATCATGCTTTCCAGGAATGCTGCCCTCCACCTACCCAACTGTGGTTGACAAACTCTTGACATTTCTCCAAAAAGCCCCCCAAAATACCCTCAACTATAATGAAGTTCAGAGCATGTATGCCTCTTCCCCTTGCCTCTTCAAGGCTGGCTTCAGGAATTCAAGAACTTACCTAATGGGCTGTTAGGAGCTGCTAATGTCTACCTTGGCCTTATGGGAATTACATATATTCTCTCAATAGGCGTCTAGGAGCACTGGATATGGAGGTCAAATCCTACTTCTGACATTTACTAACTGTGTGACCCTAGGCAAGTTACTTACACTCCATCTGTTTCAGTCTCCTCAATTAAGTTAGTAATTAGAGGACCCAATCTATTTGCCTTTCTAGGTTAATAATAAAGAATAGGCTTTACTTTGTTTTATAAAATGGGAATAGTAAAAGCACCAACCTCCTAGGGTTGTTCTGAGGATAAAATGAGATATTTGTAAAATACTTTGTAAACCTTTAAAGCAATATATAAGTGCTAGTTATTACTATTGTTAATACCTGCCCTGTGCATTGCTATAACTTAGTACTGCTACATTTAGATCTGTCTTCCAAAGTGTGGGGGGCAATGGGGGAGACTAAGTTTGTGATTGACAGCTCCATTATGCCCATTAGAAGAGATGGATGGCCCTTCCTATAACAATCCATCCCACAACAGTCAGAGACAACCAATTAATCCCCAATCACTAAGACTCATCTTCCATGAGAAGCCATGGGGCATGTCCATACCTTCCATAGGAAGATATATTAAAAAAAAAGTCCCTCCCAAAAAGGCTCATGAAATAGGTTCATCAAGAAGATCAAGGAACTTCCCTGATCCATTCTCTACCACAGAAAATGGCAAATAAGGAACCAGAGCTCAGATCTCCTAACTTCGAATCCAAGATTCTTTCTGCAACCCAATGAAGGAGGCAAACTAGAAACAGGAGTTTTATCTTTATTTTAATCAGACCTCTGAATTCATTGATATAGGGAACTTGCTCTTCTCAATGCAGATCAACACCTGGTTGCTCTGCAACATAGAGACTTAGCAATTCTAAGTCACAGACAAGAGTTGAACTCAGGTGTTCCTGAGGCCTTCCTCTTCATCCATTATGCAATGGTTCCCATTTGATAGTTCATGAACCCCAAGAGAGTAGCTACAATGGCTCAAGTGGATCATGCTAAAATAATTTTAATGGTGCCTTTAGCAGTAAATAATTGT